CCTCCACCAATGAGCAAGAACTGAGCAGCTTTTCTTCGCTGCTCCAGCCATCCCAGACCACAAGTGGAGCTTTCATGCTTCTTAATCCCAGTTTCCAAGTCTGTGTGGTTCTCACATAATACCAGCAGCCTGGAGCAAGGGCCTTCGCCCCACACCCTTTTCAGGGACGTGTCATTTCTAACATCAAGCTAATCTATATGTTGCCATGGCTTCCCCTTTATCTGCCTTTACATCTTATGAACTGCATGGATTTACCACATTATTTTTATCTGAAAGACAGAAAATGGTGGTTTTATTGCCATACAATCAGATTACTGCGGCTAGCTTCTCTATGCCTTTTTAGCATACTTCAGTCAAAAGGGATCAGTTTCTTTATGCTGCCCTTGATTTACATTACATCTGTAAAGACCTAGTCTGGGTTGTAATCCCCTTATTAACTATGACCAGGGTTGATTTGCCTAAAAATAAAAGCAAATTGTGTCAGACCCTTTCACTTTGTTTTTGATTCGGAACTACAAAATGGATTACTAAAGAAATCTTCAGAGTTCACACGGCTAGTATAGTGCTGAATTTAAAATGAGAATTAAACAAGTTAAACAGGGGAGCCATGTCAACGGTTTACATCTCCCATCATGGGAGAAGGGCTCAACTGCTTATGTCTTTGTATCCTTTGGCTTTAGAGAGACAATGAAGCCACAGGAGTTTTTCCAAGCGGTTCGGAACATGTCCCATTTACCATCCTCCCTTCTTTGCTGTTCTTATCCCTCCCCCAACCCCCTTCTAATCCACCCCCCTTAAAAGGGAGGGGGGCTCTTTCCTGAAAGATCTAATTCCTGACTAGAAGCTTATAGTTGTATAGGTTCTGCATATTTTAATCAAAATATTTTAAGCAGTTGAATACTTCTCTTTAAGGCACTACTCTGCTATACAAAGGGTGACCTCATAAGCAAATCTATGTAGATGTGCAAGAAGTGACCTGAAAAACAGGTTCTTTATGCCAGCAGCAAAGGCAGGCAGCAACCAGGCAGGCACAAGGGCCATTGTAATCATCTTTTGGAGAAGGGGACTTCTTAATGTCCAATTTGGAATTCAATAATTTAAGAATAAAGTTTTCATAAATGCATCAAAGACATATTGTTCCTAAAAACAACCCTTTTCTCAGGGTCTGTAGTCTGTACTTCCTGCTCCCTGCCACTCCCACTCCTATGACGCAGCCCTGCAGTCATGCTGGGATCGGGAACAGTCTCCCATTAGGTGAACGTACTCTGCAAGCTGCTCTAAGTTAGGTGTGACATTAAGCTGCTTGGAACGACCAGAAACAGCAAGGATTTAGTTGCTCTGATGGCAGTGCTGGTCTGAAGGCAGTTATCGAGTGGATCCAGCAACCAGAGGATTCATCCTAGCAAGTGTGGAGAGGTTCGAGGATAATCAATTAATTAAACACACCAGCTCTCCAGTAGATTTCCCAAGAAACCATTCCAACATGTAGTTTTCAGGTAGTTCCCCAGAGAGGCGAATTCACCGGTCTTCAAGCTGGGGCCACCAAGTCAGGAATGTTAGGGTCATTTGCATTTCTTTGCATTGAAGGGACAAGTGTCAACAGCTACGCTTTGTTAAAGATTTAGACCCAAGTGCCAACCAAGTCATCTTAACCTCCAGCTCTCCTTCCTGAGGCTGGAAGCTGTAATTGCTGAGGTTAAGTGCAGTCCCAGGATACCCGACTCCCAAATAAATTACTCTGAACAGACGGCTACCAAGCGTGTGTGCGACAGCACAGTCTTTGTCCTCTGCCTGGCTCAGTTGTCCTGCGGAACATGGACAATCCACTACCTATAGTTTATCATCCTGACAAAATGTGAGGAATGTGGACGTGAAAGTGCCAACAATTCCACCCCTGGTGCTTTGTGCTTTTTTCTCTCTATATTAGAACCTACAAGATTAACCCAAACGCAAACTGTGGAGCACAGTTCAAGGGGCTATTCAATCAGGACTGAATGTGCATTTGTTTACCTACAAAAATAAGAATTTCAGACACAATGGAAGGCAGGCTGGCATATATATGTTATTGAATGGGCTGTTTGAACAGTGCTACCCATTGTAGTTTATTTTATCAATCTGACAGGCCTGTATTTATTCAGAGACTGACTGGGGAGAGGCCTGTGTATTATAGGTTATCTGGATATTATCCAGCCAATCTTTTGTATCAAGTCAATCAATTTCAGAAATTTAGTTATATAGGGAAAAAATTACATAGGAAAAGCATAATGCTTTGTTAAGTACCTAGCATGTGATGTTTAGGGAATAAAAATACCAGACATAAATACTGGATGAAATTTTCAAATGTGTAATTTATTCTAGAATACCATACCATACCATACCATACCAATACAGATTGTTCAACCTAAAGTGAAGCCATTATTATTTTTTAAAAGAGCAGATAACACTTTCTTTTGACAAAAATACCATGCTTGGGGGGGGGTCCTACTGAAATGTTAACTAGAAAAGATAGCTAGGCTTTGCTGTTCTTTCCAGAATTAAAAAATAAATAGTTGAAAAATGTCCCAAACAGTACCAGCATCTACAGATGCAATGTAGATAGATAATCTAGAAGGGCAACCACTAATCTTTGAGTACACAGGATTTCTTTTGATTATTGCATAAAGTCTCAGGGATGCAGGCACAGGCAATGTGATTAAAGTAGTTATGGAGACTTCAGTTTACAAAGGATTTTCTAGACCCTGTACGCAAACAGCTGCTGCATGCTCCCTGTGTGGACCACCTGCTAAAAAGACTGACCTCCAAATGAAACAAATCTAATTACTGATGGCTGCTTCATTGCAAGTGAATCGTTCCACAGTTAACAGAAATGACGTGAAACTTCCACGCATCTGATTCCCACCACATCCTATTTACTGACTGAAACTTTTCCCTGGAAAAGTGAACAAGGCAATCAGGGCAAGTGGATACATTCTGAAACTCAAACTCAAACTCAAACTCAAAAAAAAAAAAAAAAAAAAGGCGGGGTGGGGGAGTTTTTTTGTATCATTCTTTCTGATCTCACAGAAAGAATTCAACCACATACTCAAAAAGAGTATTAAGTACTCGATTAAGGTCATCGTCAGAAAAATTCTAAAACATTTTTACGGTGGAGGTCAGAGAGCTATCACACCGTGAGCAGTGCAAAGAGGTCCTCCAAATTGCAGCCCCCCAGGTCTCCGCTCCGTCTTCGGCCAGAGCTCAGAAAAATATACTATCAGCTCCTAAACCGTTGAGTAAGGGTAAGTCACTACCTGTCTCCTCTAAAACATCACAAAACGTAGATATTACAGTTCAGATTCTAAGAGGGCATAATTATTGCTCTATTTTTTTTTTCCTTTACAAGTCCGTATGCCTATGTACACACGCATAATAATTACTAGGAACACAAAAGATACTTATGCTGGACTTAAGGCTAGGTTCCTGGGAATTTCCTTAAACTAGATATAAATATAAATTAAATCCGGATAGGAAAAAAATAAAGGCCTGAGCCTCCAAAGAGAGGCTCTGAGTGAAAGTGCGAAGTTCAGGGAGGCCGGTCGGGGGAGGGGCGCGCCGCCGCGAGCATTCAGCAGAGAAGGGTGACCTCTGTAGGCTCCACAGCCGCAGCAGCAGCCGCCGCCTGGGCCGGCTCCGGGCGGCCGCGGCGCTCAGGTCGCAGGCAGGCGCCTTCCGGCACCACCTGGTGCCTCTAGGATCCATGTCCCTGCAAAGATGCCGCGGCCAGGAGAGCGAACACACCTTACAGTAAAAAAAATTCTCTACTAGATCAGACTACACCGGAGGGGGCCATAGCAACTTTAAAATACCAACCTCCTGGCAGCAAGTGAAAATTTTCTGCTTAAGCTCATTTATAACTGACATTTTTGCCCTCTCTAATGGGCGCATGTTTAGTGACTACGCTGGTAAATGTGAAATCGACTACTTTTAAGAGTAGATACGATTTCCTCTCATCTCTACTCTAAATCCGTGCATCACTTGCTCAACTTCAATCAGCCCATTGATTTTGCTTCTGATCTTGAACGTTTACTCCAGTTCCCTCCCGGCTCAGTCTGGGATTCTGCTCGGCACTTTTTGGTGTGGCTGGAAATATAGATCGAGGATGAACTAACAGGCAGCACTGGGGGAGGCGGATGCCGAAGGGATGGCTAGTATTTTCTAAGCACAAACCTGAAAGTCTCCCCGGGCCTGGCTTTCTCCCGGCTGTGCGGTTTGCAAAGCAAGTCTGATCAAAGGATCCCGTGCCTAACCCAAGTCCCCCAGTGCAGAGGCTGCAGCGTGGACGGAGCAGGCCCTAGGCTTTGCCATCAGGCGCCCTGAAAACTGCGCCTTCCCCGCGGGACCCGCTGAGACCCGGCTTCCAGGCGAAGGGAGAGGCCGAGGTGCCAGCAGCCCGAGGCCCACCTCCAGGCTTGGACCCGGGTCGCCGCCCAAGTTCGCCGGCTGAGCCAGCGAGTCGTTCCCCCCCTCCCCCCTCGCCGCGCACACTGGGGCTGGCGGCGGGGCGCACGGGCTCCGTGCCCCCTCTGCAAAAGTACGCTCCACTGCCCCCAGACTCACAGGTTCCATGGCCTGTCCACCGGCTCCGCCCGCCTCCGGAGCCCTCTAGTCACTGAGCATCGGTGGCCCCGCGGGTGGCAACGTCCTCCGTCCCCGAAAAGAAGGGAGAGCCGGGCATCGCCATCAGACGCTGTCCCGGACGTGCCACCCGAGTCGCCCGGGGTCTGGGGCACCCTGGTGCGCGTGGGGTTGGAAGCCGGGACTGCGCCCTTGGAGCCCGCGCTCCCGCTGGGAAACCCAGTCGATCCCCACCTAGAAATGTCGTGCGGTGGGGGTGGGGGACAGAAGTCCCGGGTTCTAGAAAGCGACTTCGAGGCCCGACGCCTCCTCCCGCCCAGACGGTGAGGCGAACCCCAGGGCGCGCAGGGACCGGGAAAGGGGGAGGGATGGTGGACGTTACTTACTTGGAGTTCGAGGAATTCCAATAGATAGGCTCTAAAACTATCGATCTGGAGATCGCAGTTCTGCATAAAACCATCAAAAGTCCCCAACAGTACTTCCACATGGAGTCCCTCCGGGACCGGGCCATGGCCATGGCCAAGCCGCTCCCAGCTCTGCGCACTCCTGGACGCGAGGGCACGGGCCGCGGCTCGGGACCCTCGATCCTCCGGGGCCGACGCGCGGATGCGCCGAGGCAGCTCTGGGGCGCGGCGCTTCGCTCCAGCGGTCGCCCAGCCCAGGTGCGTTCGCCCCGAGAGGCTCTCAGCGCGCGGGGTGGGGTGGCACGCGCGGGGCGCGGCGGCTCGGCGGACTCGGGGCTCCGGAGCGCCGCGCAGGACGCAGCTCAGACGGCCGGTTCCAGTGCGGCTCCAGGGTGCCGGGGCAGCCGCGGAAGGAGCGAGGGCGCCGGGCCGGACAAAGGCCCGGGGCAGAGAGACCAGAGGGCGCGGGGCGGCGGGCGCTGTGCCCCGAGCGGGGCGGCCTGACTATAGATCCAGGGGAGCGGGCAGCGGCCCGGGAGTGCGTCGGCGCGGTTCCATTCCCGGAACGCGGAGCGGAGAGGCGCCTCCTCTGTCCTCGCGGCTGCCGGTCCGCCGGGCAGCTGGAGGCGGCTGGGACCCCGGGGTTGCCGGACGCGCGCGGGCCTTTGTGTGCGGGGAGGGCGGCGGGACCCGCTGTACGCGCAGCTCTGCGATCTAGTAGGTGCCGCCGAGATGCCGAAGAGTCAGCGCGGCCAGCGCGCTGTCAGAGCGCTATAAACGCGGAGCCCCGCCCCGCTGCGCGCAACCCATTGGTCCGCCGCGCAGCCAGTGAGCGTTGATTGGTAAGCTCTCCCATCCGTCCTCTGCCCCCGCCCGGCATTGGGCACCGTGAGGCGGGGCTCCGGCTGACAGGTGAGTCCCGCCCCCGGGGAGCGCCGCAGAGGGAGCCCGCGTGGGCCGGCGCGCGCGGGGAGCGAGAGCAGCGGGCTGGGCTTCCACGGAGACTGGGCCGGGGCCGGGGCTGCGTGCGGAGCCAGCGTTCGCGCCCCTGGATGCCTCCCGGAGCGCGCCTCCAAGACTGGGCGAGAGACCTAACTTCTGCCTCCGATTCCCGAACTCCGGTCGAGCTGAGGTTCCAGTTAACGCAGAGCTCCCGCACCCGCGTGCGGCGCTGGGGCTGCCTTGGCCGTTCCTCACAACGTCTCTTAGCTAGGGATCTCTCGCTTGATTCCAGTACCAAGCCCGCCCGCGCACTGAGCCCCTCATCGTTTCTTGCGTTCCCTTTTCCCTCCCTGTGCCCCTCATCCTGGTCCTCGTGTTCCAGCTCCCCGAACCTTACCCCCCACCCTGTGCCCCGCGCCTCCCCTCCACCCTTCCCTTCCTTCATGAGTCCCGCGTGCGGCGCCCCCAGGCTCCTGGAATAGCAGCGCCCCCAAAGCTGTCCGTGCCAACGTCGCTGTGCAAGGACTTTTCCTTCACCAGCTCCTGAAGGCCCCGCACTCCCACGGTGACCAGGAAGTTAGGGGTGACGAAGACAACTGTCAGAGTAAAAGCCAAAGCCTGTTCTCTTGGAGATGTGGCAGGAATTCTTTGATTCTTGGCTAAGTGCTCGACCAAGATTGGCTTTGAGCAGCAGCACCAGTTCGATGACTTCCACGGATCCACAGCGCCCACTAGCGCTCAATTCCTCCTCCCGGTTTTTCGGCAAACCAGGCCTAACAAAGCTGATCAGTATCCTAAGAAACCTAATCAAAATCCGGGCTGAGTTTATTCCAGGCACTTGGGAGGCAGAGGCAGGTGGATCTGGTCTAGGGTTCCAGGCTAGCCAAGGCTAAAGGGAGATCCTGTCTCAACTCCCCCACCCCATACCCCAAAATCCTGAGTTCAAAACTGAACCCTTTCAAGTGTCTCGAGCAAAGCTTGAACATTGCAAAAACTAACGCCGCAAGCCCACGTTTGTTTTACCACGCTGTCCATCAACACAATTTCTTCAAACGCAATCAGGCAGTATTCACACCAGTTCTATTTCTTTAAACATTTTTTTCCCATTAGGATAAGTGAGAAGTTATATAACATCTTTAGTTACTAGCTTTTCCATTCTTTATAGCAAAATTCTGGGAATTTCCAGGGAGCCCTTGCTTCTGGTGCTTTTTAAAAACCCCTAACATGTTAACGTGTACTGTAACTAAGAGTTAAGTTTGTCAAGACTAGTTCAAGGCCAAAACCAAAAAGGCATAGAAAGTGCACAATGCACGCATATCCTTCCAAATAAAGCTTAAAGGTGAAAATCTTTTTTCCTACTCCCAAGCTTTCAATTTTGCTGAGGGGAGGGGCGGTGCTGAAGACTGAACCCTGGGGCCTCACACGTTACGCAAGGGCTGTTTGAACTACCTGCTCCTCAGCCTTGGAAATGAATTTTTTAAAAACGTTCAACAGCTGTATGATTTGAATTTCCTGACAAGATTCCCAAGTAAGACTGAAAAACCAGCAGACGCTATCTGTATTTCACAGGAGTAAAAAACAACTTTTAAATATGCGCAAACACATCATCACTTAAGGAATCGTAAGAAATCTAATACAATCTTCTAACTTTCTAATAGAAAGTTGGGCGGTCTTTTAACATGCATGGTCTTTTAATAGACTATCTCAGTATGTTTCCGATTTAGCAAACATGAAAGTTATGACCTCTACGCTCCCTACATCCTCTCTCCCAGTAAACTAGAGGAAAGGGAATTTGCATTGTCTGAAAATAACCCCAGCTGCCCAAAATACCATTTTCAGTAAATCAGACATTCTGACATCCAAAGGATTTCACCTTGGGAAAAAAATTTAAATATATATTTAAAAACCACTTTTATTTTTAAAGTGCATATTCAACAATACCCCCCCCACACAAAAAAAAACTAGTACTATGTAACGTTTTAAGTGACTGCATATCACCTTACTTCAGTAGGACACTAAGTGAACTTTAGAAACACTGCTGCTTTCCCATTTTGGAAATTAAAAACATAACCTTATGCTACTTGTATCTAACGTTAGAGCTACAATACTAGGCACAAATGTCCCAGGAGTGTGCACAAAGACAAATTCAAAGTCACAGCCGCATCTCTATCATGGTGGAATGCCTCTGCACTGGTCTTGGCTTTACAAATTCTCACAACTCCATGCCAAAGACAAGATTTTATTTCAGCAGAGAAGTTACTTAACTGATTCCTAGAGCTAAGGAAGTTCCTAACAGTCAATCATGACTTGGAAATTAAAAAGTATCGTCAATTATAAAAATGAACAGGGAGGCAGCAAATAAAGCTGAGAAACTAGTTGAAAGTGATTAACCTAGCCAAAGGAAACTCATCCTATTTCTGTCCTTTCGGAATCTAAACAGGTTTTGTCTTTAGAACTTTAGGTTGCTCCTTATATTTTCCTAGTACAATGCTCTCTCAATTCTATGACTCCCATAAACAACGGCTTACCTAAATGTAACTTCAGAAAAATAACAGAATACAGAAATGGCTCCAATCAGCTTATGCACAGGGCATGAAAACCTATTTGTGAACAGAGTCTAGACAATCAGTGACCTCTACCCATCACTCCAAACTGGGTATGTCATGTGTGGGTGTGACTGAGAAATCTAGGCAGGGTGTAGTGGTGTGTGCACTTAACCCAGCACTCCGGAGGCAGAGGCAAGCACATCTATGAGATCAAGGGATAGTGAGTTCCAGGTCATCTGGGGCTACAAGGAGATGGTCTCAAAATGACCTCTGCCCCACCCTGGGAAAAAAAATATCCAACACTCACTTTAACCTCTAAAGTTCCTGCGTTCTGAACTGACTGGATAAGAACAGAAAGAATTAAATGCTGTTGTTTATCTACAGTGGATACCACTGAGGCTGAAAGGTAATAAATGATCTTCTAGGTCCCTAAAACCAACACTTAACCCCCCCATTCCATGTTATAAAGGGGTTCAAGAGCACTTGGAGAATCAACCACAATAACATAGTCCTTTGAGTCTGTTGATTAATCCAACATGAAAGCCTAGAAGGTTACAAAGATATCCCATTGTACAGTGAGGAAATTTTTCTTTATTCTAACCCCAATCTGCAGTCTGGTAACCAAGTTATTAAACTGACACTACTTAACATACACAATTTGGCTGTGTGAAACTGGATCATAAAGATACTTTAGTGAATTTACTGGTTTCAGACAAAAATTGAGTTAACGTACTTAAAAAATATAATCAATCATGCCCACACTCTCCAATCAAGGATCAGAGGATGGGGAAAGAGCACTTTTCTTTTCAGATATGAAACGTTCAGTATAAAGGACGTATCTCTGATTTGTAGGGCACACTAATGCATGTAAAAATAAGCAGTATGATTTATATTACAATATCTAAGTTCCAAAAGAATAGACAGGACAGGGAGTTGGCTCATACACATCCTAATCTGCATAAAACAGAATTCTCAGCATTCTGTCTTTCCAGTTTCCCAGCTCACTCTAGTAACGGCTACACAATTCATCAAAGATCAGAAAAGCAACCTAATCGTCCCAGGCAAATGACCGGCTACAAGATGGATGGTACTATTAGCAAATACAAACCTACAGTGGACCATCATTGTGCCATTCCTCACCAGGACAATTAAATTCTAATCACCTACACTACACACTACACTACACTACACACACAGGTCACATGACAAAGGCATCAAGACTACTGTTAAATGGCAGTTCAACACCACAAAAGTAGAAAGCCTGCATGGCACAGTGATGCATGCCTTTGATCCCAGCACTTAAAAGGCAGAGTCAGGAGGATCTCAAGTGAGATCAAGGTCAACCTGGTCTACATAGTGAGTTCCAGGCAGCTGGGGTTACAGGGTATCTCTGTCAACAAAACCCCCCACAAAAGTAGGGAGTGGACTCCTCAACACCATCTTGGACATTGTGGGTTGGACTCTGCCTTTCCCCCTCACCACTTACATACTTTAAGGCCCTTTCCCTACTTTAGTAAGATTAATATTACTTTGAGTGTTCACAAGACTCCCCTCCAGCAGGTGGTGAGCCAAAACCTGATACCCCATCTTCAGCATTTCTCAGGGCAAAGCACCTGGATGACTGGGTATAAAGGAAAAGGTGGAAATGACTAAAAACTGGAAGC